CTAGACGTGTTTATAAGTTGTATTTTGTCTGTCAGTTTCTGTCTGGCATCAAACATATTAGATGTGATGTTGAGTTGTTTTAATAAAGGAAAATATTGGGTATTAATTTTTTTCTGTTGTTGTTTGTTTGTTTGTTTTAATAAATTGTATTTGGTCTGGTGCAAGATGATCTGTGTTGAGTAATCATTTCATGTCTCGTGACTGTACTATGCTATAAAATCTTTAGTATATTTTTATTTTTGTTATAGTTTAGTTGTTGTTGTTTTCACAACAAATGTAATCACATGTGTATTTATTATGTGATGTTAAGAACTATTTCAAACCTGCAAACTTTCTTATATCTAACACTCCCGCTTCACGCAAATGACCGTTGAGAATTATCTTAATTTGAATTTACTTGTTATTTTAATGAAGAAATCTTATTAAAATTGTATCGCCTGAAGAAGTATAAATGTGACAAAATGTCATTATTACATAAACAAAAACAATTGATAAGAATATTCAAGATCAGGCTATGTTGGCATAGATCTCCATATAACGGTGATATTGTCGATGCTCACAAAGCAATACCCATTTTATATCAACAAGCTTGACTCAAGAGAAAACAAGACTCGCTTAAGAATGTACAAAAACGCATTTGGTAAAAACAAAACTGTAACAATAATTAAGTGCATACATTAAGTCATATGTTGTACAGTATTATACAATATCAAGCTAAAAATATCTTGTCTTTTGTTGAATAATATATTTTAAACTTAAATTCTGCATATGCGAATTTGAAGATGATACACTTTAATTACATGTACGAGGTATGATCAAAAAGTTCTCGGCCCGATATACTTCTAGTCACTGCACTGACATTTGCACACGATCCGTCGATACCGATATTTTTTAGAAGATTACTGAGCAAGTTGCATGCGGTTAACACAGATTAAGTAACATAGAATATGATAAACAAGATCAACAAGAAAAAGGCGACGTTCAATGAACGCAACCCCCACACGAGAGCCAGTGGCAAGGAGCCCAGGAGGACCCCAAACAAGTACAGGACAGGGCACAAGGCAGAGCAAAACAAAACACTTAAACACACTTTGATCAGTGTCATTTAGACCAAATGGAGAAAGTTGAAATTAGAGCAGTCATTTGATTTGCTAAAGTTGAGAGGGGCAGGGAAAGCATTAAATATGATGAGCGGCCTTTGCGGCCAAATGAGGCCACCAACGATGAAACTGCCGAAGCTGTGCAAGATCTGGTCATGTGCGACAGAAGATGAGACCGACCTGCGAAGCATTGTTAGGGAAGTGGTTTTATGCTTTGGTTAAGTTCAGGTAATTCTTACTGATTAATTTGTCTATGGTATGTCAAAGGTTTCCGCTAGATTGGTCCCCAGGCAGTTGACTGACGACCAGAAACGGACCAGACTTGACATTACAAGATATCTGTTGTCTCAGGGATGAACCTGATTTTATCTATCGGATCGTAACTCAGGATGAAACATGGGTCCATACAGCACAGCATGCAGTGGAAACATCCTGGCTCACCCCTGAAGGGAAGATGATGGCTTCAATTCTTAAGGATAGTAAGGGGATATTCATGATCGACTATCTTGAGCAATGTCGTACCATAAATGGTACGTACTATGCAGACGAATTAAGACGTCTGCCTCAAGAACTCGCGTATAAAAGGAGGGACAAACTGACTCAAGGCGTTCTGCTCCTGCACGACAATGTGCCAGCTCACACATCCCAATTTGCGATGGCTGCTGCAACTGCGGCTTTGGAATTCTTCCCCATCCCCCATATTCTCCGGAATTAGCCTCCTCTGACCTTTACCTGTTTCCGAAATTGAAAACCAAGCTTCTTGGTAGACGTTTTGGCAGCAATGAAGGTGTCATGGAGGCGGCCAATGAGTTTTTTGAGGATCAAAATAAAGAGTTCTATTTTGAAGGGTTTAACAAGTTGGGGCACAGGTGGGCAAAGTGCATTGATGTAGAGGGTGATTTTATTGAAAAGTAGGACCATTACTTGAGTTATCTGACTTCCGGAATTACAATCGGCCGAGAACTTTTTGATCAATCCTCGTATATACAAATTAGAGTAATATCTATAAATAAATAACATAAAAGTTTATTGGTAATCTTGGGATAAGAAGTAGTCTCAAGGACAAAGCGGAACGTATACTTATGTATTAGATTAAAAGAATACAAAAACAAAACAAAATCAAGTATAATAAATTACATGTCTTTAATTCTCAAAATTATCGTTCAGACGGACGTGAATACAAACAAACAATGGGTTGCAGGGTGGTGACTCCAATTTAGATAAGGTAGATACGGAAACATGTTTTTACCTCGAGTGACTACAAGCACAAGATTTCGAACCTGCCCATTTATACCCCAGTTTTTTTACAGAAAAAAAATGTTATATGTACAGATTTAGCTACGTTAAGGCTAAGTTTTTCCGTTGCACGAAAACCAAATATGTCAACTGTGATAGATATATTTAGAAGGATCTGGAAAAAGTGATTATGCTTTCTTCGTTTCTACTATTTACATTTTAAAAAAAATCATTTCCATAACTGTCATAGATTTAGATACACCAACATTTGCAAAACGTCACCATTGTGATCCTATTCTTAATAAATATTAATTAGGAAGAATTCGGAATTGATTTATATGTAAATTAAATCATTTATACGGCGAGGTTTGTGACATAGACGTTCTATTAACTTTCTTTCCATTTATATGTATCTTTTATGATTGTTATGTGGTCAGACATTCTAAGAAATTAAATAAAAACTAACGCAATTGTGATATCAGATAACGAAGTCTGAAATAATCTTTAGCCATTAATGAAATCAAAGCTTATTAATTTGCAAGAAAATGCAACCAACTTATACGTTTTTCTGATATTAAGCTTTCTGATGATAGTTGTGTTGTAATGCATATATCTTTACCTGTGGCGATGATAGCAAAGAGAAATATCATTGCTTCATAAACTTTATAATCTTACTTTAGCAATTTATTGGAAAATATTCCTTCAATATTGTTCTCCCATCTAACTAGAAGTAATATTAATACAAAATTGTGTCATTAAAATTACCAGGTCATAATAATTAAGGCCGTTAGCACTGATTATTGATGTGATGTTTGATATATTCAGTTATTAAAGTTTACAGGGTAATCGTGTCCTAAATTTCACTCAATCTAGGACTTATTTCTTATCACAGTCATACTATTCTTTCATTTATTTACAAAATTTAAAATTCAAAATCCATTGCATGTTGGAATAACACTGTCTTTTGTAAAACAGACATATAAAATTTCAATTACAATGCTACACACCTCGATATATATTTTTTTTATTAATAAATAGAAAAAAATGCATTCATTTTATTAAGATGACAAAATCAAATCACATTGCAAATTGTTTCAACATCATAAAAGTTAAAAACTAAATTTTGTTAATAAGTGTATAACTTTTTAATGGTATTTACCTCTTTGTAAAAGTCTTTGTTTATTCATTATATGGGAACATTTATTGGACGTAGACAAAAAATGTTTTATTGATAAAAAGGGTGTTAATTTTGGCCACGTTCTCAATGAATTTCAAGTCACCGTTTTTAAATTTGATCATCAGAAATAAGTCTTTATATTGTATTATATTCTAAAGAGCCTATCTACAACGGTATTTACAACACGCCTACTTTTATATATTAACAAAGACGATGTTTACTGAATTTACGGAAGCACAGAGGGGACATTCCGATTTTATTTTATTTTCCTATCTCGAGGTCACGAGATATAACTCAGAAAAAACAACAACAAGAAAAATGATATCACGTAACCACGAGATATAACTCAGAAAAAAACGAAAATCAAAATGCTATTTCGTTACCACCAGATACAACTAAGACCTGTAACCACGAGCTGTTACTCAGAAAAAACAAAATGCTATCTCTTTCCCACTTGTACCACATGGGGAAAATCTTTATCAAACAGTCTCGTGTGAAATGTGTGAGATTATATTTTGATAATTTTCACTGTGAAATTATCAAATATAATTTTCACGAATAAATCAGTATTCAACTTAAAAGCATAAAATAAACAACATTCTGTCATAAATTACGGTAAAGTATGATTATGTTTATATAATGATAAACAAAGCACATTTAACAATATACATGTATGTATATATATATATATCGGATTGAGATGAGTTAAAATACAGATGTTAATTGTTAGACATGATATAATGTTAAAGGACAAAAAGTTGACTCATCAACAAGCTTTTATATTTAGTTAATTTACAAGTGCATTGACATGCACGGTATCTGTGCAAAATATGTGCATAAAAGTACAAGGGTGGTTCGCGTAGGTTTAAACGGAAATTTCAAATATAATGACTTATTAGATTTCAAAAACTTCTAAACGTTAAGATCAGTGTTTGGGCCTATCAATTAAGCTTTATGTTAGTTTAAGTGGAATGTAAATAGTAAATACAATATGGCTTCATTAAACAATTCAATTTTGTTGAACAAAATAATGATGATTCATTTAAAGAAATTCGTTCAGAGGTATTTCATTTTGATTCTTCTAGACGACAAAAGGTATCTGAAAAGTGACATTTTTTGATTTTCAGGAATAAAAAATATGGTAAGTCTTACTTTCAGTAAGATATGGTGAAATATTTATTTCCTTTTTTAAAACTTAAAGATTTACTATGCTCAAATTTCATATTTGAAAATATTTATAATTACTACACCGTCTTTTTGTAAATATAAAATAAACATGTTTTAATTTTACACGCAGTTTCTCATACATAATTTATTCATTCTTTTATTCAATTTGGACATATTCGGTAAGAATTACATACATTTCAATAAATTTCTGTAATAAAAATATTTTACGCAAGGATGAGCATAGTATATCTTTAAAAAGAATATCACATTGGTAAAAAAAATGTACTTTCAAACTTTTAAAGAATATCACTAAATTAAAAAAGAACAAATGTACCGCTATTGAATAAATTTAGTATTTGCATGTTTCAGAGATATCTAAGTTTTGAATACAAAAGTAGTTTATTCAGTTCAAATTATAAGAGTGTGTTTATTTAATTCTGATTATAGTTTTTACTCGTTTGGAATATTTGATTTGTACATCGTTCCTGTTTTATATTACTTTCTTTTGTGAGGCTTTGAAATCGTCCATGGATGGTTATTGTAGTTGTAGCTCTCCGATTAATTAACAAGCCAGCTGATCTTGGCATTATTGGCTGTTGATTATTAGTCATCCATTAACAGTATCATAGAACAATTAACCAATTTCTTATATTGATACGTTAACGTCAAAACAAAAACAAAAGAAAATTAAATAGGAAAACATGTAAAGAGATAGTTACATTTGTACGAAATAAAACATAACATTTCCATTACCTTTTTTCAGGATAATAAGGTCGTATTCGTTCTTCTGTCATGTGTTTGTCTTGTTTACGGTTGTAGCAAGAAACCTATAATTCACGAAAGCTCGGCACAGGACATGTCCATATCAGAAGAACGTGAAAAGCGTTTTATTAAGGTAAATATCTTAAATCACTGTAATCGGAATTATTTAGTTATTTATTTATTTATTATCGTTAATATCATTTAACTTGCTTGTCTGTCCCTGTAATTATGTAACTTTTGAACCAACTCTGCTGAAAAGGTGTTGGTTACATTATATCGCATAGGGCATTTATTTGTTCAATTTACTTTTATCCGTTACCTTTCTTTAAAGAAAATATTCCTAATGACTTTGTTCTTAAAACCATACACATATGAAGTCTGAGTGACGCTACATATTGGGGGGGGGGTGATATACATACCAATTCTATGTTTTAAATTTGATGTATTTTCGGCTTAAAATTTACTTTCTTCTGCATGCAGGAAGGGTCACATTACCGTGTCCAGCTACAAGAAGATCCATGTAGCTTTAGAACCTACGATATCGACCGTGACGGAACAATCACACAGGAAGAATTGTTTGTTCTACTTGGCACTAATAGAGTAACTGAAGCCTTGTTCAATGATTTAGAAATAGTCAGAGGTTTGTAACATTTTTACTTAAAAACAGCAAAATACCAATGTTTAAATAATGCGACTCTACTAAAATGTACTGCATTTGTTAATAATAGCGTGCATCGTGCTGTAACAAAATATAAAATTCGCAAGAAACAAATACAGTATAAAGTTTGAAGTGAAGGTTATGGCAAAAACATAAATATGTAAGTTATCTGTTTGTTTCTGTATTTTTTCAGAAGATGGAGTTATAACACCAGAAGAATTTGATTCCAAAGTTACAAGCACCATACTTGAATGTATTACATCAGACTAGATATGACTATAAGTCGGATTTTGTCTGTCAGTTCCTGATGGTTACACTAATATAAGATGTGAAATGAGTTGTTATAATAAAGGAGGATACTGGGTATTAAATTTCGTTGTTATTGTTCATTTTATTGTTCAAAGAGACTCAATTACATCAAATCAAATGAAGCAATAAATTGAGATACCATGATTTCTTTGGACAATCATTTTATTTCTCGAGACTATGCTATTAGATCTTTAATCCTTTTCCATTGCTTTTATTGTTGTTGGTGTTGTTTAATCACATGTGTATTTGTTATGTGATGTTATGACATTAAAGTAATAAACTATTTAAAACCTCCAACACTTTTATCTAACACTTTCCTTAACCTGTAAGGGACCGCTGAGTATTGGTTAAGCTTAATTTACCTATTTACCTGTAATCTCAATACAAATATAGCGCCAGTAGAAATGTAAATGTAAAAAAGATGGTCACCATAGGTAACAAAAAGAATAGATACGAATATGCAAGATCAGATTATATTAGCATAGATTTGTGTATAACGCTGATATTGTACATGATACCCACAACTAAATACCCATAAACCACTTAATACAAACTGAGTCTGACTCAATACAATAAAAAAGAGAAAACCAAACCCCCTAAAGAACCCCTAAAACACATTTGAAAGAAAAGAAATCAGTTTATGATAATTAAGTGCAAACGTTATGTTATATGTTGCACAATATTATATAATATTAAGCAAGAATATGTCGGTTTTCTAGTCGGGTAACAGTATTTTCCTCGGGATGATATTTTTACTGTTACCCACAAACCCATGTGTTATTTATATACATGTACTATTATTACTAGAGAAATTCGTAAAAAAAAAGTCGATGTAAAAATAAATGTTGCTACTGTAATGCTCTTATTACAGGAAAACTTCATCTTTTTTATTTTTCATCATCAGTGAAAAAGCATTGTCTTTGTTAATTAAGAAATTGATTTCATCTCCATCAAACAACATTTTGTGAAAAGTGATAATGACATAACATGTCGTAAACAAGTTCTATTAAGTACTATAATTCTTTGGCATAAAGCAATGGAAACATTTTTTCTGTGATTTTAAATGATTTTTTTAATTAATCTTTTGCAAATGAAATGTTTTTGTTTGTTATTAATGGGTGTTAAGATCAAAACAGTATTGCAGAGTTTTAAAGGCCCATTATGCCTCAGAAATGCTTTTATTTTTATTTCTCAAACGGGTTTTCTTAATTTTGTGTCTTTTAAAGTATCAAAAACGTTTACAGTTTATTGAATTGCGTATTGATATCAAAATACTACTTTGTTTACATTTTGCTTCTTTTATGACAACTTATTTCACATTTATCGCTACCTCATTCTTGTAACAAGCATCTAAAATCCTCCAAATCATCATTTAAACATTATTAATCTCATGTTGGAAGTGAAAATTATTTGTTTTTTGAGGCAAAATGTGTCTTTAATTGAAAGTCTAACGTTCTTTAAATGAAGAGTAACCTCGAAATGAACTTAACACTTAAGAGTATTGTGTCTTATTGTATGAAAGTAACACTTCGCTACCTGTAAATGGGACTGTTAAAATTCGTCGTTCTATAATGGATATTCTAAGGTGAATTACATTTAAACTATGCTTTTAGTACTGCTGACCACTTTCAAACTCAAATGACATTTTAACTCATTACATTCATAACTTTGTTATTTCAGTATAATTTTATGTTGATGTTGGATTGTTACCATTGCCAATGACAATTTATTTTAAAATGACAATGTTAATTACGTTAAATACTAATGGCAAACAGTTATCACTAACGGCAATATTAAGTCCCGTATATATTTCGCTACTTTAGAACTAAATAGCGCAATATGACCTTACTTGTGTTGTGCGCATTAAAACCAAACACAACCTGATAAAACACGGCTTGTACTTTCAAATTGCCTCCCACGCTGTTAGATCGTGTAATATGGCCATTTACATACCACTATTATAGCAACAAGTACAAATGTTGCTGCAATGCAGCAATTGAGAAGCTCCGCGCAAAATAAATGCGCTCATTACTGATACCTTACCAAATTATTCCTACGCACAGGTCATGTTATATTCATATTAAGTACTATTGTAGTGTAGATTTTTTCCGAATGTTTTGTAAACCATTTTTTGCATAATTATACTTATCTTATGCACTATCCATAACTGTCCATCGTTAAAAAGAGGGGAAAAATATTTAATATAAAAATGCTTTCACTGATGCCTACCTGGTAAGAAAGTAATTCCATTGAATACAAACAAGACTTACAAGACTTGTAAATGTTATGTGACATGACTGTACTGTGTTCTGTTTCAGTAACAGAAGATAGAAATATCAAAGTCTGTTATAATTGTTACAAATATACAAATAGTAACAAAAGGGACTAATATTATAATATAGTAATATTACATATATATTTTTTCATGTCAAATTAAAAAAAAAATGGTTTCTTTCAATACTGAAAGTAGAACACACTCTGGAATGAAAAAATGGGATGAATTTCCAAAAGACCAAATTCAGGATTTTGTTTGTTTGTTATCATGCGTTACATGGTGATATAGTATTTATCAATATAATAGAAGACTGTTACCTGAATTTAAGGTAGGTATGAGGAAATTCACTTTTATCATATTCATGCGAGACAAAGATATGAAAGCTATTTGACACTGGTAATATATAAAAAAAACTATTGTTAATTAATTTTTAGGGAGATCAATATATATTTCATGTTGAATTGCTTTAAAACAATTCATAAAAAAAACATTACACTTCATGTTCACACTGCAGATCAATGTTTCTGTTGTTGTCATGATATCTATCTATAGCCTATGCTTAATGTGATTCCGCTTTGTCAGTCATGTTTGTTTTAACTAAAGTCTGTCCAAAGTGAAAGTAGGCCAAAATTCATGTAACAACAAAGCTCTTATTGTAAAATGATGAACCATTTGAAAATACACTTCCAGGTTTATATTTTAAGGACAATTATAAACAAAAATAAAAATGATAACAATAAGAACATTTACCTTGAATGTGCTACATTTCTGAAGACCAAAAACATTCTGTTACAAATCTTTATGCACATTTCATGAATGGCAAAATCCAGTTTAAAGTCTATTTTAGTGCAAACAAATGGTACTTTTTGCAGAAAATACAAACAAAAGCTTTAAAAAACATAAATCTTAGGAAAGTAGTTTATGACCTTGAAAAAACGTGGCCTCCATGACATGTGTAAAAAAGAAGTACAATGAAAATAAACATCATTAACCTATTTCTTGTGTACATGACAAACAGACACACTTCACTGTTACACATAAAAAGGTTAGATTTTAAAGTTTGATTGTGTTTTCATTTTAATTGTAGTTCATAAGGCTATAAATGATGATTGTTGCTCAAACTTTGTGTAAACAAACTTGGCTGGCAAAGCGGAATCACCCTAATGAGGGTCCATCCGCTCGCAAGGCTTTATAATCCAGCATTCGCTGTCGGGTCCGGACCCCCGAACATGTCACCATTCATACCATCATCACAAAGTGGTATGCTGTGTACCAATGACGCTAACGAAATGTAACTTAATATACTAAAGTTTAATTATTTCAAAACAACCAATATATCAACATGTTATTATTAAACATTTAATTTCATAAATATAAATTAAAAATAATTATCAAAAGCAAAATTGTTAAAATCTTTTGCCTGAAATCTTCTTTATATTGACAAATTCAATCACTAATAGTATACTTGATATGTATTTCAAAATGTAACAAATTATAATTGCATGTACTACTAAAAAAGGGAAATAACAAATGTATAACATTTATAGCTATTTATAGCTTTCGAATTTATGTAACAGCAGAACTGCTTTCCGGTTCTCATTCATTAATACGACATGCTGCGAATCATCGACGGGGAAACCAATATAGAAATCGAAAGGAGTTCTTGAATGCGGATTTACTTTTAGCTGTTAATCGAAAGGATTTATTGCTCAAATCCGGGCCCATGGACAAAAAAAAGTAAACACAAATAGCTCCGCGCCTGTAGGCGCGGAGCAATAATTATCACTGTACAAATTGCAACCAAATAATTTTGTCATTTGAACATAGATTTATCCTTATTATACAAAACAAATAATTTTATAGATTTTTCAATTAATTAAATGAATGTGCACTTGATTTCGTGATAAAAACAAACCCTTTTGAGAGACTTGTAGAACTCAAATTTGAGTGAATGTAACGATATTTAACGTAATTAACGTTATTTTTCTAATGTTACTAAACAAATGTAACATCAGAAAAATAATAGTTTTAGATTCGAAACATCTACGTTAGAAAAATTCTTACATTTAATCAAATTTGAGTTCTACAAGCCTCTCAAAAGGGTTTTTATCTCGAAACCAAGTGCCTATGATTAATTGTAGTAGTTTGTTTAGTCCGTTTGGTTTGTATTTCTTTTCCCTTGGATTATTTGTTTCTCATTTCTACAATTTACATAAGAAATAGCCAACTTGTAAAGCAAACAACATTTCCATTACTGTAATGAATTTGGATACACGATACACCAAAATATGCAAAACTTCAACGTTGTGATCTGGTACTTAATAAATATTGATAAGGAAGAATTCGGAATTGGTTTATATGTAAATTAAATCATTTATACGGCAAGGTTTTCGACTAAGACTTATATTAACTTTTTCCCCATTTATGTGTACCTTTTATGATATAATTGTTATGTGGCCAGACATTCCAAGAAATTAAATAAAAACTAACGCAATTGTGATATCAGATCACGAAGTCTGGAATATTCTTTAGCCATTAATTAAATCAAAGCTTATTTTGGAAGAAAAGGCAACTTTTTGGTTTTACTGATTATACATATTCAGCTTTCCTAATCAGATAATGATAGTTGTTATTGAAACATATACATATTTGCATTCGTCTGTTGCAATATTCGCAAAAATGAAATATCTTTACTTCAATTGATATTGACTTTATTATCTTAATTTAGCAAAATATTGTAAAACAGTCGTTTAATATTGATCTTGTCAAGATATTAATCTAAGGAATATGTCTAAAATCAATCTAACTAATATCAGCTCAAAATAACGCTCCGCTGTTAGATCTGACCGTGACCAAATATGAAGTCATT